CTCCTTGCCTCACCGTGGTGCACGCGAACGTGAGAACCCTGGGTCCTCGCTTTCGTCGAACCACGTGTGAAATGCGTGTAGCAGACCGCTCTAATTCGATAGTCGGGGAGCTAGTTGATTATACTGTAAAATAGCGATTTCCGGTCTCGGCCGTCCTAGTTCTCTTCGCGCATTTTCTACTACTGTGCTGTCACAAAACAATGTCTTCTCTTATTTTCTTCTCTTTTCGTCGATTTAGATAATTTCACTATGTGAAGAATTTCAGGGAATCGCTGTTCAAGGAAACGTCATGTATCATATGCGATGATTGAAAAATACAAATCTTTTTCTATATATTATTTATCAATCTTTCTTTTGTATTTTCCTTTCAAAGCAATAAACTAAATTCGTTTTCCTTAACTATTATATATATATAATTTAAAAAATTTTTAATTTCTTGGATATATTTCTAGATTTTTTAAATATTGAAAGATATTTTTTATTAAATGGGCTTATAATACATTTCAAATAGAAATATCACAATTTGCAATTTTGATTTATTTTTACGATGCAAAATTTTTAAGAGAATAAAGAAGATAGTTATAGCTTCTAGATCCGGCTGTGAACGCAACGATGAGGATCTAGTCGAGTCGACTTGTTCTTCGACAAGATTCATTCGCCGCGACTCTTACAGCCGCGCAATACCCCTTCTCTTCTCTTTCGATATTTATTACGACTGTACCTAAGTCCATTCGCAACCCTTATCGAGCTCTCGCCGGCCCTCCGTAACGCGCGTCGAGAATCGAGAGCCGCGAGCGGCCGGCAGTGGTCCCGAGAGCCGATTCCAATTCGATATCACACCGACGCAGCACGGAAGAAAAGAAAGAGAAGGAAAAGGCATCGCGCACTGCATGCTACCCGCCTATATATCAGTCATCGGTAATAAATTTAGAAACAAATTGCCGGTCACCTCGACGACCCATCGCGAAAAGGCGCGATGGATCCGGAGAGGAAGGGATTGAAGCATTGCCGGGGGAATAGGGCAGCGGACGAGACGCAAAGCAAACAACAATAATAATTATTTGATACGAGTCGACGGAAGAGAGAGAAAGTGGGGAAGAAGGAGGGGAAGAGCTTACGCGAAGTTTGTAATATCTGTAATGGGCTGTTCTACTCGAGTGACCTGTCGGCCGGCGCTGAATTAATGGCGGTCGAGATTTCGCGTGGAAACGAGACGATCGGTACGAGTGCGCTAAGGAATGAGGGAGAAGGGAGGATCGAGAAAGAGAGAGAGAGAGAGAGAGAGAGAGAGAGGTGTAAAAGCGACCACATAGGGAAAAGAGGGGCCCACGGGGTGGAAGATCGTCGATCTCCCCGTCTCTCTTTCTCAAGGCAACCGGCAGTCTTGAGTCGTGACGCACGAGTATACTCGCCGACCCTTACATATATCGAGTGAACGAGTCTGCTCGCGTAATCGTATTTCTATCTAAGATAGAACGCGTAGAAGCTTTTCTATTAACGGAAATTCCTATACTAATGAAAGATTAGACGTTGTTTACCGAAGAAGTCACAAAATGTGCATGTTTTATTTAAAATTGCTGTAATTAAAGTATGGAAATTTTACGACGCTTTTCTCTTTTATTGTCAGTATCCTATACGTTAATTTGAATTGTTTTAATTCTCGCGTGCGATGAATATTACTCCTAATAGCTAAATATACTGGCAATTTAACTGGTCGTTAAATTGTAATCGTAACATCGTTATCCGAAAGGGTTATAATAATCTCGCAGTGTGTCGATTTAAAAGGTGAATGTACAATGATGCACTCGTCTCCTCTCAGAAAGGATCATCACGAGTGGGTACACTAGCATGGCTGTGGCTGGAAAGCTCGCGCTAATTGAATGGGAAGTCGTTCGGGGCAAACCGCGGAGCGTGTTCGCGTACCCGGTTCGACCGTCCCGGGCGCATTTATGGCGGTCGCTTGATGCGCACCTAATTGCCTGAAAAAAAATGTGCTCCGTCCGCGCGACTGTACTTTGAGAATGGAAATTTCGACGGTAAAACGACAAAACTAAGCGAGCGTAATTGGCTGCGTTATTAGGCACGGCTATTTTTCACATCACACACATGAGTTTTTGCAACAAAACCTTGATTTAATTATACGAACTATGTATCCCGGACCTACCGCGAGTAAATCTTTTACATCCGGATTCTTAGATAATCGGACGAATTCGATTGACTACGCATGTACATACATAGAAATTGAAAGAATCGATAAATCGGCGGAATTGATTCTTATCAAAGTGGCAATTATGGAAACAAATCGTCGGCTGTTAAACTTGTTTTCGCGACCACATCAGATGCGATTATTACGTCGAGGCTACTCGCAGTCATAGTTAATGTGCTAATTACTACACAACACGCGTCCGATCGTAGCCCATCGTCCTCCACTTACTCCGAGTCTCGTCCACCGTGAACGTCCTCGTTCGTCATAATAGCGCGCATTAGTTAAAAACAGGATCATTTGGAGCCGGGATGACCATCGGCGAAAAAGCGAAATTACTGATACGCGGCGGTGGTCATTAATGTTCAGTTAAAGAAAGAGAGAGTGACAAGCCTGAAAGAGAGAGAGGGAGTGAAGAAGGGGGAGCGAGAGTGGGAGAATCAGGCTCCTTGCACAGGAATATTTTCATGCAAGTCGTTCGTCGGGCGTGTGACCGAAGTTGCGTTGCCGCATCAACAGAGTTTGCTTCTTGCGGTATCTGCATGCAAACTCATTATGCATCAGCGGGCATGTGATGCACATGTGATTTTTGCGAGTGAGTAAGGAAAATTGCGCCGCGCGCGTCGCGTGCAACCAATCGCATGTTACACGTGACGCATTGTTCTCCGCACTTCGCTCTCGGGGATACGCTCCTTCGATCATAAATATCGCACACGGACAATGTGCAAGAACTCGTTGTTTGTTCACTTCGTATCACTTGCAATGGAAAAGAAAACCTTCGTCGTGACACCAATATAATCTTCGTCCTGACACCAATATAATCAGCAGTTACATATTACTCCACGACAATTTACTTTCTCGCTTAATGTAAGAAAAATGTATTTATGGTATAGAAATTTTATATTTTTATGTTTTTATTTTTTATTTACGGATATATACTAAATAAAGACAAACTGATTTTATATATTTTATATCTCTTTCTAACTCTCCTTCGTGCTCTCGTTTATAATTTAGGCAAACAACCATATTAGTTAACTATCACAAATGGTCAATTTTTAAAGTATTACTTAATTAAAAGCCACATTAGTTAGCCATCATAAATCTTGTTAACTAGAACACTATAAGCGCGTCATTTGTTTTGCGCGCGTGTGTGTATAATTACATATTAACTCTAATACTCCGTTTTTTCAAAATTAATTAAATTAAAATTACACACACGACTTATATTTGAACTGTCAAATGTGCCATTGAGTCATGACAGCCGTTTACTGATGTGAAGTAATGAACCGCGCGCAACATTGAGATAAATAATTGCATTGCGGAAAAAAGGCAATAATACTTGCGAGTATTGATTTAACATGTTTTTTTAAGAGTGCATTTTTATATTATTCATTAATTTAAAAAACCTTCAATAAACTCTCAAGAATCGTTATAGCAGAAATGCCGCGTATAAAAGATCAAATTATTCTTAGACACGCTAGAATTAGATACGCTAAAATTTTCCTTACGCTAGGTAGTGTTCCCTTCAGCTTTTCCAAGCCTTGAAAACAATCTATATCATGGAAGGCCATAAGAAGACAAGGCGCTGCGGCGCCTTCCGAGAGTTCCCGTCCCAAAAAGCCGGCGTAAAATTCGGCGATGAGCGTGACGGCCGCGAAACATCTGGCGGGACGTTTTCCGAAACAGGTAATACAAGGAGAATCTCAGAACATAATGATATACTGGGGCTGGTGGTAAAGGGCGAGATCCTCCCGCTGCTAATTAAAATTTGCCCGCGGAATACATTACCGCGGCCGGAACCCCACCGCCGTGCGTACACGTGTATATATATATATATACATATATATATATGTGTATATATATGTATGCGTGTACGTGTGTGTATACGCGCGCCTGTAGGATCCAGGTCCGACCGTGGCGCGATACGATGGAGAACTGACGTCCTGACGGGCTGCAGCGCCCCGACGACGGGCGTAGGGCGAACCATCCGCCGTGAAGCGAGCGGCGGGAGAGAGATCCACCACCCCCCATTCCCTCGTTCCAGCCACCCCGGCTCAACCCCCTCCCCCGGGCACGGTGCTCCGCTTTTGCCCGTGCCACCTTGTCGTCGAGAGGGCACCGTCGTACGCGCCACCGCGCGAAATTGCACGAAATTTTCGAAAGTGCAGCATCCCTTTCCTCGTGCTCATCGAAAACGAATTTTCGAGTACGGGTTGGCTTTTACAGAGATAAGAAATTGTCAGAGACTCATGATATATACGTAGCTATCGGAAAAAGCGTTTTCTCTATTGACCAAATACTTGGATTCTGACTGATGTACTAGAATATTTTTATTACCGAAGTAATAAATCGTTCAACTGTGATTGAATTACAAACTGTTTTAAACGTATAAAACCGACGTAAAATCCATTTTCATTAAGCTTATTTGACTAAAGGCATTTCCTTCTCTCTTCTACATGAAACATTTGAAAATATAATGAATAAAAACTGTGAAGCAAAGTACATGTGCGAAATACTCTTGAAATCCGTTACAATTAAATTAAAACAAAGAAGCTTGTTATGATTCTCGCTATATATATATATATGTAGCCGGGGACCCATAGTGGAAAACAACGCCCACCGCGCCCAGCCGATTTGACACTTCATTATTCGCCGGCCACGTGGGACCCTGTCATTAAAACGAGATTAGTCTCGTAATCGTAAAGTCCGACCGACAAGGCCTCCTTCTACTACTTCGTTTGCTCGCGCGCCCAAGCTACAACGTAGAATAAAAATGATAATAAGCACCGGTCGTATTTCAAGTCTCCATCGCGGCCGGCGCCAAAAGAGCCGAAAGCTCGCTCAAGAACGGACTCTTCAGAAGACTATACCAGAAAACTTGTGCACAAAGAACTATTGCAAAATTTTTTAAAGTTTTAAAGAAACTAAAGAAGAAAAAAACGAACTTTCCTAAAAGCGCTCGAGAAAGCAGCCCCTAATTTTGTTTGTCCAGAGAAACGCATTAAATATAATTACTCATTGATTTAAATCGATCTATCTACATGTGATCCATATATTATGAAAAAAAATTTATTGTCATTAAAAAAGAAATTCATAAATGAGGATTATATTCTAATTATAATTTTTTACTTTTATATAAATGACCATTAATTTCCTTTTGAATTTGTGTTTATAAAACTTGCAATTTTGTTTGATTCAAGCTTGGACAAGGAAATTTTTAAAAATGATAACGCACATCGATATATATCGGCGAGAATCGTACGGTCGTGTCTCTCGAATTCCGTTGGTTAACCGTTGGTACCGTAACGGGATGGAACGTCGCGAACATTCAGTCCAATCCGCCGAAAACGGACGAAGGGTGGCGTTAACGCGTCCCAACCGATTCGCCGCCACTTTGCACACGTCGACCCGGTGCATACGCAAATATTCTGCCGCGGAGCACGGCAGAAACGTCCAGCTTATGGGGGATTAACGTCACGTCTTGGCAGAGTCCACCCGTGGGACCGACGGGAACAAAAGTACTCTTTCGGTCTCAAGCATGTGTCTGCTTTCTGAGATCAAGCTCGAAGAAAATGTGCGCGAAACGATAAAGACCTTTCGCATTTTTGCGTATTCGATATTAGAATTCGCCTCTTTTTGGAACTCTAGAGTGAAGCGGATCCTTGAAATTTTTGTTTGACATTTGTTTCATCAATACACATCAAAGATTAAAATTTTGCGTCAAGATTTGTTGAATATCAATACGCTAAATAAATTTAAAGAGTCTTATATGTTAATTAATATTATAAAAATAGATGCTTGTGTTAAATAATCTGTTCATGTTATCACATTATTAATTGTCGTTCATCGTTCAAAATTCGGACAAAAACAAACAAAAATAATGAACATCGATTTGTACTGATCTGATACTGGAAGTAAAACTGAGAGTTTATAGAATCGCGATCCGAGCACGCAATGCATCGAGATGGAATCCCGAAGCCAGCGAGAAAATTTTCCCGTCGCAGTCTCCCTTCGTGCTAGTACTTCCAAGCGCCTTTTTTATTTTGCGAATATGAGAGTTTACTGCCTTTCGTGCGGGGTAAGAGAGAAGAACGCATCTTTGTCTCTTTATGGTCGGAAAGTGGCCCGTAGAACGATCGTGGCGGGGCCCGAGAGACCCAAGACGGCATCGTCTCATAGCTGCGGCCGTCTTCTTCTTGGACGCCACGAAGAAGTACGGTCGGATAATAACGAGTTTCGTTGTCGTCCCTTTCACCCTGCGCGTAGCGCGAGTCGTAAAGTCAGCCGATGCTAACCCTCCCGTTCCGTCAACCACCATGCCACCGCCCGCCCGTTCGACCATTTTTCTTCCACGGCGATGTGGACGATTGTGTCAAATTTTTATTGCGCCAACGAGCCTGTCTTACACGGGGTCTCGCCTTATATGGCACTGAAACGATGAGGAAAGAGAGAGAAAGAGAAGAGGGAGTTTATACTTCATGCCTTGTGATTGCATCGACGTTGCATCCCCCGCGGACATCGACAGATTGCAAAGGATAATGATGATAATTGTATAAATGTGATAATGAGTCCGATAAAATATAATAATATGAACAGAAAGTCAGATAGACAAATTATTTAAACTTTTTGACAAATCGAATAAGAATCTTTTCACAAAACAATAATAGCACAATTTAAAGTTCAAAGTAACAACATTATTCATATAACATATTTAATTTTAATAGTTTTCTATTTGGAAAGTTTTTCAATGATAATTGCACATCCAGTATAAATATTATTTCAATGATAATATAAAAATACTTTCTGAAGTATTTCGCATTTTGACAGTTTGACAATTCCTTCAACCTCAATTGATAAATAGTAGTTAGCTGATATGAAAGCTCTTGTCTTAAATTTTGAGTAAAAAGGACGTTCGACATAAATAACTCTTTTATACAATAAATATGTTCTGTTTTATCTTGCGTTTTAGCCTTCAAAAATCTATCAATGGTGAGATAAAACCTAATTATTATTAAAAATATTGTGTGAAAAGTCTATAAATTTAAACATTCAGGTTCACACATTCACTGCTTGATAAACTGTTATTCAATAGGCATTCGAAACAACTTACGAAATTACAGCAGCGACGGAGCTAGCATTTTCAAAAGGGAAAAGTTGCGGTATCGAGATGAGAAAGGTATCGTTTTCTGTATTGTACATACATCGTAAAAAGATTTAACGGCACAAATGTTGCCACTGCTACTATGCTTATCTTAATAAATTGCTTTATAAACAAAACCGCTGATTCAAAGTTTCCATCCAATACACTTTTTGTTTCTTTGACAAAGTCAACTTTATTCATGTATACGTTATTGCACCCGAAAATTCATTCCACCATTCTGCGACACAATTGATTGCACCTCTGTGTCGAACAGGTTATTACGAGCTGGTTGAGTCCAGAAATTCCTGTGGGAAATCTGCCCGCGACGCCTCGGAGCTGCATGGCATAACTCCGGAAAAAGGCAAAGTTCCAGGCTCGGAAACAGAAGATCCGCAAAATTATTATTTTTAACAATAATTGCTTTAAATAAGCCCCAAGAGAATCTTTCCTCTCTCTCTTTTAGGTATCGCAAATATTTATGTATTTAAAACTTAAATAATAAAAAGGAAAAAAAGCAAAACAAGAAATAAAAAAATAAGAGAAATAATTATTTATTAAAAAATAACTTTTGAAATTATGTACGAACAAATTAAAGTTATTGTTTGATGTAATTTGATGTGTCGTTTTCTGAATAGAGAGAGAGAGATAACCCTCTATTTTGAAATTAATCAGCAAATCAAAATTTTATGCGCGATTGGCAATAGAAATATTCAAGATGACTATAGAAATGACTTATACGCTTTCTGTATAATCCATTGTCACAACCGTTCGTTGATATATGTAATATTCAATATGATGTCAATTATATACGAGACTACCTGACATTTCACGTGACTCGATACGCCGATATATTCTTTCCTTTTTTTTTTTTTTTGTTCACCAAACGAGATACACACCAGGGGCGAGGAGGCAAAGACGCATTACCAGATTGGCCCGCGTACGCATTCAGAGGGTCCTTTACATTCATGAAGCTTTTATTCGGTTGATTTGACTACGCGCTTCGTATCCGCGGCTCTCGATTTGATTTGCATTGATTGAAGTGGCCGGCTCTCCCGATAACGACCGTTTTTCTTCCGCGGTATTGCGGATTCCAGATCCGTAGTTCGAACGCAGCGTGGCGTTGCGTAAACACGTGTACACACGTGTGCAAACGCGCTTTTACATTGATCTTAAAAGAATTTTACTGCAAATCTTAAACGAGTAAACAATTTTGAATTTATCGTGCAAAGAGATTTATCCATAAATATCATTTGTTCAAAATTATATAGTTTGTACAATAAAATTAACAATCTATTTACGTTCAAAATTCGTTGCTAGCAAATTAATTTATAAGGAGAACCGTATAATATTTTATGACAACATATGTATTGCGAATAAATTAAATATTAATTAAATGTTAGTTATATATATGATATATATGATATATCACGATAATAACATATTGAAATCTGTAATATTGATATAAATTATAAGCAATTATATAAATAATGTTGTGCAATATGATATTATCCGCGTATAATGGAAGAAATATATTTTTCTCTTAAATGTTATCACCCGCGGAATCATGGTATTTTTCTTGTCGAATGTTTTACATATCATATAAAATATTACACATACACAAGAGCAATAAAATATATATTAAAGTCAAAGCGATATTGATAACAAAGTGATTGAATAAATATTGTAATACAATGTATGCAAAATTGTTTGGATATAATAATGCAAGACTCCCATTTTTATCGTAAATACAAAATCAATTGCTCGCAATGTATTCCTCATCGAACGCCTTACAGCAAGCGTCGCGATAGATACAAACGGCACTCCACCATCCACGACAACGGCGGCATTGTGTCCGCGTCAATGACAGAACGATGATTAATCGCTCGAGTGTCACGGATATCGTTCTCTCTTCTCGTGCGCGGCTACCATGGTCGAAAAGGACGCCGACGAATAACGCGCGTAATACCACGGGACGTATAAACTGTCTCCATTAATAAAAATCATATCGCTATTAAAGCCGAAAATATTTACACTATCGCGCAACAACGGTGAACTGCTCCCCCTTTCTAAGGTCGCGGAGACTCTGATCCTGGCCGCGCGCGCGATCCCGAAGAGACGAATCTCGTGAAAAATCGAGGGAACCGCGTTTAAGCCAGCGACGTCTAATCGTCGCGGAATGAGTCTCCACTTTTTCCTCCTCTCGTTTTCCTTTTCTTTCGAAAGGGACCACCTGGAAATTTCCCAGATTAAATTGATTCGTACGCGCACTTTGCGGCGACCCGATGATCCTCCTCCGCCGCCTTCGCCGTCGCCATGACCGCATCATTCATCTCACCGGTGTACTATTAGTACTGTTATTTATGATGAAAAAAAGCGTAGAACGCGAGAGCGGCACCCATTATGTATCGAGATCGGGTCGCCGGGTGATTTATGCCGACCGTGCAAATTGCCGCTTGTCCTTTGTAAGACGGGCGAAGTGAAACGTCGCCGATTAAATCGACCACGTTGATCGTGATTTAGCGAAGTTTAGGAGGGCCCGGGCTCCGCCGCCTCGTGATTGCGAAATTAGCGATCGCGAGATTACGCTAAGTTTATGCGCGCGAAAAATACAGGCGTGGCTGTGGCGTTAGCTCCCCCGTAGTTTCTGGGAGTGCGAGATGCAGGCTTATTTATAAATTTAATTAAATTACTCAACGAAGATTAAGATAATGCGACGTATACCAAAGGAACGACCACAAGTACTACAGAAAAATTTGTTTCAACTATTGTTTCAACTTTTTCCGATATTAATTGTTTTGAAAATGAAAAATGGTACATGTAATATGGTATATTAAAAGAAACAAATCTTGAAAGCAGTTCTTTTTTTCCCTATAAAAACCCCGTTATACTCAAGTTACTAAATTCTTCTTCATCTTTTTCGAAGCATGTTTTCTTAATTCTCAGATCTCAAAACGGTCCAAAAGGTTATTAATATATTTTACCTTTATCATCCAATGTTTCAAAGCATTTCAACGTGGGATACGTTCGTAGCTGTAATAATTCGTGTTCGATCTGTAACACCAACAGTTCAGCATAATTACCCTGAAGCTTCCTAATTAGATCGGATCGCTGCTTAAACAGACGCATCTTCCCATCCATATGCTGGCATTGTC